GCTTATCCTAAGTTGGTCATAGAGCTTCTGCCTGTAGGTAAGGAACCTGGTGATGGTGCTGGCACTGATGGGCATGCACAAGCCGAAAGGCACCCGCGGGAGAAGTTCAGAGAGGAAAACACCCTGCAGCTACAATTTCAGTGGGGTTTATGTTGGGCTTGGTGAGACGGTGGCAAGGGACAGCATGCAACAGGAGGGAGGGGTGATGATCCAGTATCCAGAGGTCTAAGTCAGTCAAATTTGGGCAAGAGAGAAAGCGCAGATGTTTAAAAATGAGGTTTAATACTTCCCTATCACTGCCATTTTAAAATCGGGGCTAAAACCATTTTTTAAAGTCTGTTCTAGTTCAAAGAAGAATTTGAGGATGTCCTGCAGCGGGGTTACTGGGCATTCCTCAAGGCACCTGTATTTCTCTTTCCAGGACTCAGGGGCCTGATGATGTCTGTGATGATAGCAGCTCTCATGTCCTCCCTGACTTCCATCTTTAATAGCGCCAGCACCATTTTCACCATGGACCTCTGGAAACATTTCCGTCCTCGTTGCTCTGAGTGGGAACTCATGATCGTTGGCAGGTAGGGAGAAGTAGGACATGCATATTATATCAGAGTCTGGGCGTTAGAGACAGGCCTCGGCACGCCTTGCAGCCTGCTGGGTAGCATCTTCACATTGCACAGGAGAGCAGAGGCCTTATGGGTACGAGAGATCGCAGTCGGAGTCTTGCAAGCTGAGCAACTGGAAAAAAAAGGTCTGAACTAACAGTAATGGCATCTTTTTCTTGCACAGGGTCTTTGTGCTGCTGCTCACTGTGGTCTCCATCCTGTGGATCCCGTTGGTACAGGCTGGCCAGGGAGGGCAGCTCTTTATTTACATCCAGTCAATCAGCTCCTACCTGCAGCCCCCCGTGGCAATGGTGTTTATACTGGGTTGCTTCTGGAAAAGAGCAAATGAAAAGGTAATGGTTCTGCTGTGCTCGGCACAGGCACCTCTGTGGCCTTGCTGTCCTCGTGACAGCCTGGCAGTTATCACCACCCCCCCGGGCTGCAGCTCTGCCGCCTCTCGTAGTTTTTGGGAGAACGAATGCACCCAGAGCTCTGCACAACCCAAGCAATCGTTCTGTTGCAGGGTATCCTTCACAAATCTTGAAGCCTGCTAGAGGCTTATTAGCCATCAGCTTGTTTATTACATGGACTTGTTACCTGCATCGGGGGGGGGCTACGGAAGGCACAGTGAGCCCAAAGAGCCAAGGAGCCAGACCAAATGGCGTCACGAGTCCTAACTCTCCAGTTTCTCCACAAAGGCTGGTGCTGGGTGAAGGGTAAAGTCTTCCCAAAGCGGGTTTCGGTTAAGCAGAGGGCAGTTGTCAGCCCCACACGATTAAGGCAACCATTAGGCTACAAGTATCGCTCTTCAAAGTATTCTGGCATAAGATGTTATCCTTCTCCTCATACTGAAATTAGTGACCCACTTGACCCCACGGAGGAGAGGTACCAGGCTAGTGTAACAGCACCGGCAGACCTAGAGCAGAAAAGGGCGGAAAATACCCTGGGAGGAAAAAGGAAACGGGAGGAAAAGAAGCCCAGTAAAAAAAACAGCAAGGAGAAAGCCTGGCCGGCTTCTAGTCTGGGAATGCGGGGATAGCCCTGGATCCCGGGCGGATGCATGCTGCTTGCTCCAGTAAAGAATACCCTTCCTTTCCTAGGGTGCGTTCTGGGGCCTGGTGATCGGGCTGGTGCTGGGCGTCGTTCGGCTGGTGCTGGACTTCATCTACCCAGAGCCCCGGTGCGGCGAGACCGACCTCCGCCCAGGCGTGGTGAAGTACATGCACTACCTCTACTTCTCCATGGTCCTGGCTGCGATCTCCGCGCTCACCATGCTGGTCGTGAGCCTGCTCACGGAACCCCCCTCGGAAGAAATGGTGCGTCACCCCTTCAGGTTTCTTGTGTTATTTGTAAATGGTTTCCAGGGTGCCCCACATGACATCCATGGGAATAGTGTGGGGATAAAAAAAACTGGAAGTTTTCATTCGTTCTTTGTTTATGATCACACTTGCAATAACCTGTAACAGCAATCCCTCCTCTGCTCCAGCACCCTGCTGCCAGTTAAGATTTTGGTCCCATAAATCCAGAGTCCCACCCTGGAAACCGGTCAACAGTAGATGCTACAAAGAGCCGTTCTTAAGTTTCAAACGTGTGTGTTTAACCCGTGACAAATTAGCTTTTTCCCTCTATTTTCCAAGAAATTCCAGCTTCTGGGTCATCTTTACCAACTCTCTTACTAATTTAGTGAGGAACCATTTTTACTCACAGGAAAGAGAAATCCAGGGCAGAGAGCACACATCCTCTGGAACAGGTTTGTGCCAGTTTGACTGTTTTTGGTAGATACACTAAGGCTACCGCAAACATTCAGAGCAGGAAGGAGGGCCAGAGGGACCTTCAGAAACCATACGGCCAACGCATCCTCTTGCTTCACCACAGGACTAACCCGAGACATTTCTGAAGGACCTGGTGAACTTACTCTTAAAAGTCCCCAGGGAGGGAGAATGCCCGGGGAGGTGTGTGATCAAATCGAGAGCTCGCCTGCCCTCCCAGTAGCACTTTTTCCTCATCTCCAACCTGAATCTTTCCAGCTTCATGTTGTGCTCATCCCTTCCTGTCCGTCCTATCGCTGATAGTGAGAACATTCCTCTTTAATGAGTCTTTTACATATTTGAAGAAAATTATCATATCTCCCCTCTGTCTTCTCTTCTCTCAACAACCCCAGTTCTTTGAACCATTCCTCCCTGGCCGCAATTTCCGTTCTTTTGCTCCCTTCGCTGACCCACTCTCAGCCTGCACCTGGTGATGGTCCGTGCGGAAGCGTCTCCTCCTCAGTAACGGAGCGAAGCATGCCATCCTTCGGAGCGCGTAGCTGTGCAGCCACCGCGTTCCAGACAAAACTACAGCCAACGTGCCGGCGGTGGCCATCGCTTCTGTAGTTACCAGCTGAGCGCTTTGCTGTTCGCCCGCTCCAACAGAGCGGGAGAACAGATTTCGGCCCCTCTAAGTATTCTCTCTGCAGGCTGCTCTCCTGCTAAGGCAGTCCTTTAAACAACCGTGACAGCAGCTTTCTTTAACAC